GATAATAAATACAATTTTTTCACACACGGAGATAAGAAGGAAACAAATAAGAAAATTGTACTAAGGGGGATAGACCCAAACATAGATATAGAAGACATTAAAGAAGATCTACAAAACAAGGAAATTAACGTGAGCAAAATAATACAAATGTCCAAGAAAGTAGAAGGAAACATTTCATATAAGTTACCGATCTATATTGTAGTCCTAACCCCACAGCAAGATATTGGCAAAGTGACGGAAGTGCGCCACATCTTGGGATATATAGTAAAATGGGAGAAACTACATGCTTCAGAAAGATTATTGCAATGCTACAATTGCCAAAACTTTGGACACGCAGCCAGATACTGCAACCTAAAATACAGATGTGTTAAATGTAAAGAAGACCACGAACCAGGAAAATGCAGCAAGTCAAAAGAAGAAAAACCACAATGTGTAAACTGCGGGAATTTGCACCCCGCAAACTACAGAAACTGCCCCTTCTTAATTGAACTTAGAAATAAAATACGAAACAAACCTCTTAATCAAAATAAAGCGGTTGACGCACCTCCTCCGCCGAAACAAACCAAATCTTACAGCGAACTACTCAAAGAGACGGCGACTAATAACCAAATAATGAAGAACGACAAGAAAACTCATCATCCACAAATAGCGACATTTTTAATACAATGAAACAAATTCAAGATTTGCTATCTAAATTCGACCTAAGTAAAATAATAAGCAACATCCAAAAGTTTTTGCCAAAGATCATGAACGCCAAAAATATTACTGACTTTATAATAATAGGTATGGAATTCTTCAACGCTACTTTTAAATAAATGGCCCGAAAAAATAACAGCATAAATATCATGACATGGAACAGCAATGGAATAAGAAACAAAACAAGTGAACTAACCTATATAATGAGAAAACACAACATACAAATTGTGTTATTGACCGAAACTCGACTAAACCCAAACATTAATTTTCACATTCCACAATACAAAATCTACCGCAATGACCGAGATGGAGCAAGTGGTGGTGGTACAGCAATATTAATACACGAGGATATAGTCCAAAATTCAACTCTAACACCTCAGCTAAACACCATAGAAGCGACAACAGCAAGTATTACAGTTAAAAATACAAAAATAATAGTAGCTGCAATTTACAAACGACCACAAAATACACTGGATACGAATGACTTAGAAACAGTCATGAACCTTAATCGACAAGTAATCATAGGGGGAGACATGAATGCACACCATCAACTTTGGAACTGTAAAAGAACAAATAGAGATGGGAGAAGCATACATGACATGATCTTCAGAAACCTACAAACATATAAAATTATATATCCAGAAGAACCAACATATTACCCAAGCGACGATAAAAAATCACCAAGCACAATAGATTTTTTCATAACGAAAAATATCCATACAAGGCAGCTCGCCAGAACAATATCCGAAACGGATTCCGACCACAACCCTGTCTATACAAAAATTTACGAAACACCAGAAAGATATACGGAGAGATCATATATAGTAAAATACAACTACAAAAAAGCAGACTGGACGCAATTTAAAGATGACGTAAGCAACCAGCTAGACTTAACGCAAACCATCCTGACAAGATGTGAAATAGATCAAGAAGTTAGAAAGCTTACTGAATTAATACAACACTCTATAAAGAAAAACATACCAAAAATAAATAAGCAAAGCTACGAACAACTACCCGAACACATTATAAAACTTATTCAAGTCAAAAACAGCATACGACGAAAATGGCAAAAACAACGTGTACCTGAATTAAAAGCATTACTAAACAAGTTTGTGAGTGAAATCCAAAGACACATAAGAAAACATAAAAACGATATATGGAAACTGAAACTAGACAACATTAATAAAGACAGCACCAACTTATGGAAATTGACAAAAAACCGAACTCGGAAACGCAATGATATCCCACCACTACATTCAAGACACAATGGGGTAGTCTACTCAAACAAAGACAAAGCAGATGCTATAGCCGAAGTACTGGAAGAAACTCACCGGCAAAACCTTGATCTTGGGAACATACAACACGACCACAAAGTGAACAAAACCGTACAACACAATAAACAACTGAATACACCTATCTGCAGAGTGACCCCGTTAGATGTCAAACAAAACATCAAAAAATTAAAAAACTACAAAGCTCCTGGACTCGATAACATACAAAATATTGTACTGAAGAATCTACCACGTAAAGCCATAATAAATTTCACAAAAATCATAAACGCCATGCTATCTCTTGAACACTACCCAGTAGAATGGAAAGCAGCCAAAACACTTCCTTTTCCAAAACCAGGTAAAAGCGACACATTTCCACAAAATTACAGACCTATTAGCTTACTACCGACTATGGGAAAACTGGCAGAGAAAATAATACAAAAACAAATATTATATCACATAAAGAAGAAAAACGTTCTTCCAAAACACCAATATGGATTTAGGTCAGGACACGCAACCCAACATCCCATAAATATACTTACAGAAAAAACCATCCACGCTATGAACATGAAGAAACATACAGGCTTAGTAAGCTTAGATATACAGAAAGCTTTCGACACTGTATGGCATAATGGACTACTATACAAGCTGCAAAAAATAGAGCTACCAAGATATCTAATCAACATCATAAGGTCCTATCTTAAGAACAGAACCTTTAGAGTGTGTGTCAAAAACGAATTGTCAGACGAAAAAGCAATTGCAGCAGGCTTACCACAAGGATCTATTCTTGCACCACTACTTTTTAACATATACATGCATGATATACCTACCCACAAAAACACCCAAATCCTGCAATACGCAGACGACACAGCAATTTTTTCTGCAAGTGCTAAAATCGAAATTCTAACAAAGAAACTACAAGAACACTTATTACAAATCGACCACTACCTAGACACATGGAAACTAAAACTGAATACGCAAAAAACAGAAGCCATACTTTTCACTAACAAACAAAAACAAACCATTGACAAACAGAAAACCCTACAAATTGGAGCGGACAAAATCCCATGGGCTAATACAATCAAATATTTAGGTGTTATCTTTGACAAAAAATTATCGTTCAAAGAACACACAAAATACAGAAATAATCAAGCGTCTGCAGCGATAAATAGACTGCACTGTCTTCTCAACAACAGCAGCTACCTAAACAAGCAAAACAAAAGGCTACTCTATCTACTAATGATAAGACCTATATTGACATATGCAGGGCCGGCATGGACAAACACTTGTAAATACAACTACCAAAAACTACAAAGGACCCAGAATAAATGCCTTAGACTGATAACAGGCAAAAACAGACAACAAAATAATAAATTTATTACTAATAAAGCACTTCATGAAGAAGCAAAAATACCTTACATCAAAGAGTTTATTGCTACCATCACGAAGAAGTTTTATATGGCAATAAATAATCATAAAAACCAAAATATTACAGACCTAGGCAAATTCACAAGGAAAAACTACTGGACAGACAAAAGATTACTCCCAAACTTCTAAACTTCAGAAGTTTGAGAAATATGAACAAACCGAAAATATTAGAAATGGTTTTATGAACCAGGAATATATTAATTAAATGAATAATAGACGACAGTAATACCACGTATTACAAACGTAATACATATTGTCAAGGAATACCACCAATAAATAATAACTCACAGCACGATATGTTTACCTTACACGAAACTGAAGCACGAGGGTCAAGAGGAAGAGGGAGAGAAGAATCATGGCACGACTCATTTCGTATCAGTCAGTGTACTAGTAAACATCAGACATGCCACCGAAAACCAGCGGTAAAGCGGCTAAGAAAGCAGGCAAAGCCCAGAAAAATATTTCAAAGGGCGACAAGAAGAAGAAACGTAAGCGCAAGGAGAGCTATGCCATTTATATTTACAAAGTCTTGAAACAAGTCCATCCTGACACGGGCATTTCGAGCAAGGCGATGAGCATCATGAACAGCTTTGTGAATGATATCTTCGAGCGTATAGCGGCCGAGGCATCGCGTTTGGCTCACTACAACAAACGCTCTACAATCACTAGTCGGGAAATTCAGACAGCAGTCCGGCTATTGCTACCAGGCGAGTTGGCCAAACACGCCGTCAGCGAAGGTACTAAGGCCGTAACCAAGTACACCAGCTCGAAATAAAATGATGAAGATTTTGTGATGCCACTTATATGTTCTGTCGACAATAACAAAGGCCCTTCTCAGGGCCCACAAATATTTTACAAAAGAACTTTATAATTTTTACATTGGTTTTATAGATAAAATAAAATAACCTGACACTAATGATATTTTATTAGGATTTTCAATAAATTTTGATCAGATTTCTATTAGAGATCGTTATTATTAATTTATATTATAAATAATGTTCAATTTCTATATATTTTCAATATGATAAAAATTAATGATTGAATATTCAATTCAATTTAAAACTTTAGTTTTTCAAATTTAGTTAATAAGTTTAAGTTTATTTTAATTTATTATAAAATAAATTTATATTAAAAAAAATCGCAATTTAAATATTTTCGTAAAAATAAAATTATTGTCGTAAATATTTTAAAAATTTTATTATTTAAATATATAAAATATATTATTACATATTATATAAATTTAAATAATATGCAAAATTTAATAAATTCATTCATTTAATTGAGCTCCTTCAATTCAGAGCCCTTTTCGAAGCCCTTAACTGTAAAGTATACTAATACTAAAAGGGCTTCTATTTTCTATTAATTGAAGCCCCCCCATGTAAGAAAAGAAATCAATTGCATATAAAAAGTCAATACGAAAAAATAGTAAAATATATATTAATTAATACTTTCTTTAAAACATATTCGAAGGGCTTTCCAATTTGATAATATTATCAATAATATTACCAAAGCAAGTTATTCTGCAAGAAAATAAACAAATTTCATATAAAATCAAATAAAGCCTGTACGTAAATTGTAAAATATATTACTTGTTCTTTTAATTATATTTGACAGCCCTTAAAAGGGCTCTTTTTTGTTTTGTATTTATAAGAAATGACTGCGTCCGTTGATCAATTTAACCGCCGAAACCGTACAGTGTACGACCCTGACGTTTGAGCGCATATACGACATCCATAGCGGTTACGGTCTTCCTCTTGGCGTGCTCGGTGTATGTGACTGCATCGCGGATAACGTTCTCGAGAAACACTTTCAGAACACCGCGGGTCTCTTCGTAGATTAGACCCGAGATACGCTTGACGCCGCCACGGCGAGCAAGACGACGTATAGCCGGCTTTGTAATACCTTGGATATTATCGCGAAGAACTTTCCTGTGTCGCTTAGCGCCACCCTTTCCGAGTCCCTTACCACCTTTGCCACGGCCGGTCATTTTTCAATATATCGCAGTCGGGATAAATTTACAAATTGATGTTAACAGCTCGAAGTCTGAATAACGACTGAATTCCGACGAGCGAAATTATTGAAAAGTTTGAGCTCGCTAGGCCACGCCCATCATAGCTATGCGAGCATTCGGCGCCGACCAATGACAGCCGAGCACAGCATCGGACATTCGTAATGTATTTTGATCATAATATTCGAGCCGGACGCGTCAGTATCAAAACGATCGTCAAACGAGAAGGTTCTCGAAACGAAATCTAGGAGTTATAATGGCCCGTACGAAGCAGACAGCTCGCAAGTCCACCGGTGGCAAGGCGCCCCGTAAGCAGCTTGCAACGAAAGCGGCTCGCAAGAGCGCGCCGGCGACCGGCGGTGTGAAGAAGCCGCATCGTTATCGGCCTGGCACCGTAGCTCTGCGTGAGATCCGTCGTTACCAGAAGAGCACCGAGCTTCTCATACGAAAGTTGCCGTTCCAACGTCTAGTGCGCGAGATCGCTCAGGACTTCAAGACCGATCTGCGTTTTCAGAGCTCCGCCGTCATGGCATTGCAGGAAGCTAGCGAGGCCTATTTGGTTGGCCTGTTCGAAGATACAAACTTGTGCGCGATCCACGCCAAGCGCGTAACCATCATGCCCAAGGATATTCAACTAGCTCGGCGTATTCGAGGAGAACGCGCTTAGACGCCTGTCGTCCTATAAAACAAATCGGTCCTTTTCAGGACCACCAAAATGATCAATTAAAAGAACTTTTATTATTTTTCAAATTATTTTATTTTGCAGAATTATTCCATCGATACGTTAGAAATTTTTATTGATTTTTTTTTTAATTGAAATTATTGACAACACACATGATTTGACTTGTTGAATAGTGTGTTGTTGTGTTAAGTTTAAAAAATATTATAGTTGAATTTGTAAAATTCGTCATGAATTTCTGAAAGCTTCTTTAAAAAATTCTAAATTTAATTAATATGGGCGAGTTGCCGTTCTGATGATAGAAATTTATATTATATATATTATATTATATATATTTATATATAAATATTTTTTTTTTTGATTGTATATTTTTTAATTTCATATATAGTTATTTAAAGTTATATAAATTTTCTTTTTCGAATACGATATGAAAAAAAGATTGAAACTTCATAAATTATTAATGATTATATTTTATTTCATTAATTAATTTCCATTTACTTATTATTTATATAAAAAAAAATTAGAAAAAATTATGAATTTAATTATTATGAGAGTTGCCGTTCTATGTATAGTTGATTTATTTAAAGTGATATATAAAACTTTTATTAATAAATTATTGATTATATTTCATTTGATTAAGATAATTTATTCATATAAAATTATTTAAAAAAAATAATAAATAAATAAATAAAATTCAGCGATTGATATTGAACAACTCCCTACCAAAGACGAAATTGAAAATTGAAAAGACTTTGACTTTTAAATTTCGTCAATGACACAACACGGCGAGGAACACAGCGAGCGTTGCTGCGCTCCTGTTACAAATATTTTATTAAAATTTTTCCGAAGTCCACGAAAAGGCTATAATATAAGATGATAAGATATATATAAGTAAAATAATAATGTTCTTTGATAAAAATTTATTGTTAGTCCTGAAAAGGACTTTGTGCAAACATTTTCGTTTGCTGTTGTGTAAAAAGATAATGAAATGTTTTCACTTCTTTTTCGGTGACGCTTTTTTCAAAGGTTTGGCTACTTTTGATGTCTTCTTTGGCGATTTAGGTTTCTTTGCGGCTGCGGTCTTGACGGTTTTCTTCGTTTTGCTCGTTGCCTTGGCCGATGAGGCTTTCGTCGACTTACCCTGAATGGTCTTCTTCTTATCGACTGTCGTCTTAGGTTTCGCCGACGACTTTTTTAATGTGCCCGCTGCGGATGCAGACTTCTTTTTAGGGGACGAAGCAGGTTTGGCGGCGCCCTTCGACTTTGCTGTCTTCGATTTTGCTTTTGCCGCTGGCGTCTTAGCGGTCCTGGCTTTTCCAGCCGAAACACCGCTTTCGCCGCCGCTCTGTTTAGCGTTCGCGGCAAGTTTGAACGAACCCGAAGCACCTTTGCCTTTTGTTTGAATCAGTGTGCCCGCTTGAACAGCTGACTTTAAATACTTTTTAATGAACGTTGACATTTTCTCGGCGTCGATTTTATAATTGGCCGACATATATTTCTTAATCGCCTGCAGCGACGATCCGCCGCGTTCTTTCAGACTTTTAATAGCGTTGTTTACCATTTCAGATGTAGGAGGATGGGACGGCTTCACTCGCGGTTTTTTAACAGCCGCAGTCTTGCCCTTTTTCGGCGATGCTGTCGCTGGCGCAGCGGTTGCCGCCGGCGACGTAGATAAAGCGTTATCTGACATTATAGTAAAAAATCGTAGGTTAAAATGTAAATCTAACACGTGATTGGTTAAATATGTTAGGGGCGTGGCCAAAAACTATATTCGAAAAGTGTAGGACCGAGGAGAAAACAATAATATTTGAAAATTTTACAAAAATGTAAATTATTTGTAAAAAATTATTCATTCGAGTCCGAGCAGCCGTAGTGTTCGCATCGCCCAGAAAATCTATAATCCCTGTGAATTTAAATGTGAAGTGATTCGTATTTAAAGTGAAATTTTTGTGAATATGTTACGTGGTGAAGTATTAAAAACTATTTATAATAATTATTAGTTCTATACAATTTATGGTCGACGTTAGACTATAACGTTGCCATTATGGCGGCGGATCAGGACTCTAACATTAGTGTCGCACAGCAACTGAACGAGGTACTGCCAGCGGGGCGATTTGTGCATATAAACAAATTTGCGCCATTAGCTTGTGCTGAACAAGATGAAGAAAATAATAAAAACGAAATGGAAGATGAATTTGTGACTACAAAACGCAAAAAACCTAACCCAACCGAACCGGAAACCTCAAATAAAAAACCCCAAAAAGAAGATCAATTTACCCAAAAAACAATGCCTGCAATTGTAGTTTTAGATGATTTAGGGAAAAATGATTATGTTAAACTTCTGGCAAAACAGTGTAAGAACAAATTGCATGTGCAATACAAAGGAAAACTGCACTACAGAATCACCACATACAGCGAAGTGGATTACAAAAATGTGTACGAAAGATTGAAACAAGACAACAAGAAATTTTACACTTTTCCACAGAAGGGATCTGAGCTTATAAAAATTGTTGCTGCAGGAATTCCACCTTACGTGACAAGTGATGAAATTTATCAAGAACTGATCATAGAATTCTGCAGAATTGAAAAAGTTATTCAAATGACTAAAACCAACGTGTTAGGTGAAAAAATAAAACTACCAGTTTTCGTGCTTTTCTTTCATCATGAACAGGATATGGCTCGTATTAGAAACAAAAAACACCTAGCAGGGTACGCAGTCAAATGGGACAAATATAGATCGAATGGAAACATTATACAGTGCTACAACTGCCAAAATTTTGGCCACACTTCTTCTTATTGCAACCTTCAGAATAGATGTGTGAAATGTACAAAACCCCACGAGGCGTTCAGCTGCCCCAAAACCAAAGCGGAACCAGCTCAGTGCATCAACTGTCTAGGTAACCACCCTGCAAATTTCAAGTCATGCCCGAAACTACTGGAAATTAAAGCTAGAAGAGAACAACTAAAAATCAAGGCCAGACAAAATGTCTATATCCCGGCACCTGCTCCTCTACCGTTAACTAGAAAGTTCAATTCAGTGCTACAACAGAGAGAGTTTCCAGCGCTACCTGAGCGAATGACAAATACCCTACCCTTACCTCAGAATCAAGTTCCATCGCCGCACCCTCAACAACAAGCCGCTCTGGATCAAGAAACAGGTACACAACCGCAGGCCAATAATTTTAATTTATCAGGTATGTTTACATCGTTTAAATTCATTCAAGAGGTTTTTGCAAAACCGGCAATAAAATCATCTCTTGAAAAAATTTTAAAATTAGCCCAAACTTTAAATTCAGCAAATGAAAATGAATATGATAATATATTAATTAATCATTTTATCTTTGGGAAATGATTTTAAAAATTAACGAATTAAATATACTTTACTGGAATGCACGCAGCATTAAGGCAAAAGCTTCTGAATTTAAACTATTACTTACTCATAACAACATACACATAGCATTGGTTTCCGAAACGTTTTTAAAGTCACATATAAATTTTTCTATTTATGGTTACAAAATCTACAGAAACGATAAAGATGACATCAAAGGTCGTGGAACCGCTATTTTTATCAAAAATAACATCCCACATACCCATATTCCTACCCCTGTTCTTAATAATATAGAAGCAACTATTATTTCAATAGAATCTAATTTGGGACAAATAGCTTTTATTTCCAGTTATATTCCTGGCCATAAACTCGATACCAATGACTTAGACGCTTTGCTCAACCTTTTCCTAAAGTTTTTATGGCAGGCGATTTTAACTCTAGACATCCACTCTGGAACTGTACTAACAATAACTATAATGGCCTAGTTTTACATGAATACCTACTAGACAACATAGATACAGTTCAATTGCATTATCCTCTATCTCATACCTATTATCCAGATAATTGCAACTGGTCCCCAAGCACTATCGACCTTGCAATCACTCGAAATTTGTTCCATGTTGCAACTCCACACACTCTCACTGCCTCTAGCTCGGACCATAATCCAGTAATAACATCTGTAGCTATTGATAATTTAGCAGTTAACAATAGCAACGATAAAAACTTTCTTGATTACAAACGCGCTCATTGGAAATTATTTAGAATGCATATAAACAATCAAATAACAACCAAAATTTCTTTAGATACTACAGAACAAATTGACAAGGCAATAACAAATCTTAACGAGTGTGTGAGAAATGCAATTAACAAATCAATTCCCACCCAAAAATCCTCATCAAATCCCAACTCTTTACCACAGAATATACTTGCAGACATTAAGTTAAAAAATTATGTTCGTAAACAATGGCAAAAACACAAGAGACCCGAACATCAAACAATTACTTAACAAACTATCCAGACAGATCTCAACTGACATCAAAGAATACCACAAC